GTCTCGCTGAATTGTTTAATTCCACAGAGCATAGTCTAGTTAATATCCATTCACACCAGCAAAACATATTTAAGTAAACTGAGCTCAAGTGAATGAAAGTATGACACAGAGGGCTAAAATAAAATCTCTTTCCTATTATGCAAATTTGTAAAGTTTATAAACGATGGTACGAATATTCCTAACAATAAAATCCTCTGATGAGTGAGCAATCACGAAACAGGCTTGTAGGGATGAGAGTATAGTCTCTCTGTTCTTTCCCCTATCGCAACACTTGTATATAAATTAATTATAAGCAATAAATTAAACAGCGAACAAGTTGTGAACTGTTTGATACATTTGGAAAAAAAATGGCTATAACTCGAAATTGATATTTATAATAATTTTTTTTTGTAATCAAGCTTTCACAAATACTGTATTTATTCACAGATAAACCTGAGATCGCGACGCATCCTCACAATATCAGAACAAGAGAAGGTCAAAACGTGACTTTATATTGTAACGCTACTGGAAATCCAGCTCTGACAATATCATGGTACAAGAATGAATATCCTATAAGTAACGACTCCAGGATCATTTTGTCTCCAGGCCACGAACAGTTGACTATAAGGAATGTGAACAGAAAAGATAGTGGCAATTACACATGTCGAGCGAATAACTCAGTTGGAACGGATACTTCTAACGCTTCCACGATTAATGTTCAGTGTAAGTAATTTAAATTAGCCATTGTACATGAATAAGCACTAGTAAGCCTTTGGATGTGCCAGAAATCCATCATGGAATGTCGAATATTTACTTGGTTCCCTCAAGTTCGGCAGAAAATCTACTCGGATTAAGCACGCTGTTCCAGCCAATCAGAATACGTGTCATATGGATACCTCATTGTAATTGCTTTTGCAGCTTAAGCAGTAATTATTTTTTCATTGGCAGTTCTTTCTTCTTTCTTTGGATCAACCTATGCTTTTTTAGTATGGACGATCTTCGTGCCTGAATTTTTACCTTCAGAGGGCGTCTTTTTCGCTGATTCTTCGTCCTGTTACTGTTAGCGTTTTATTCATCTACTCAAGGAGGTAAAAGGCATTTTCCATTATTCGAAGACAGAATTTTAACAAATTTGGGAGTGGAAATCAACCTCGTTGACTTCCACATACGAGGTATAGGCCCTGGCTGCGCATCGATTGTATCAGTTTAAATCTCCGGATATTCACAATGTAAGCGGTAATTCAAGTGGAATTCTCTGTAGTGCGAGAAAAGGATCTTGCTAACCTGAATTTGTTGAGATTCACTGTTACAGTCCATAACTTTGAGCAAAATATTTCGATATTGTAATTCGAATGTTTCATTTTACTCGTGTTATTATCTCGATTAAATCTGCTAACCCGCTTAAATGCAGTAAATTTGATCGAATTCATTGCTTTTAATTTCTTACCTAGGTAAGCTTAGTTTAGATTACCAAC